TTGGATATTAACTGAAGGTTGCTGAAGAGCATGGCTGCACCTCTGAGAAAAGTATGTGCATTTTTGGGCGGGCAAAGAGGGAGGCCAGATACCGTCCTTTATTACATTGTTTCCCCTCCCACGATCCCTTGCTCTCTGTGTTTTACATTTCTCTCCCCCTATCATGGGGGTTTGCTTGGCAAGTTTCTCCAGAGGAGGGTTTCCATTACCATCTGGGGCTGAGAGAGTGTGGCCTGACCAGGGTAATCCAGTGCCTTTGAGTCATTTCTGGCTTATTTTGACCCTGTAATGGGGGTTTGCTTTGCAAGTTTCTCCAGAGGAGGGTTTCCATTACCATCTGGGGCTGAGAGAGTGTGACTTGCCCAGGGTAATCCAGTGCCTTGGAGTCATTTCTAACTTATGGCGACCCCTATCATGGGGGTTTTCTTGGCAAATTTCTTCAGAGGAGAGTTGCCATGGTTATCCTGTGAGGCTGAGAGGGTGTAACTTGCTCAAGGTCATTTATTTTTTTTACTCCAGCCCTCCAATGGTCTGAGGGATGACTCAAAAAGTTTGAGGACCCCTGCTATAAGCCCTTGTTCTGTTAAACATTAAAGGAGATTTCCAGTGGCCCCAATCTAGATTTGATCCCTTACATTTACTTTGAAGTAGTGATACAGTAGTTCTACTCTAGTTGGGACTGAGGCTCCAATTTACCTTTACTTTTTTGCAACAAGATACCTATATTTTGTGATATTTTGCTGAAGATGTGGAGATCAGTTGAGGCTGAGCTAGAAGATGTGTGGTAGTTAGGAAGAGTGAGCAGAGATAGTCATTTTTCTTCTTCTATATGTAGCAATGTGGAGTGGTAATGACTAATAAACTCTAGTATTGCTAACACATTTTGATTAACTCCATTACACAAAAATACCCATCACATTCAGCAGAAGATTTAGGCTCAGCAGAAAGTAATAGAACAACCTGGGTTAAATCCCATAAGATGCCACATTTGCAATGATAGTATGGCTGAAAATAAGTATCAAAAGAATCTGGGAAACTCATAGCTATGAGACCAGAAGAACTAATGCAGACTTGAAACATATGCTTTAGTCTTTTAAAGGACAGAAACAGAGTATATGAGTACAGGAAATTTCCATGCATCATCTTTCCAGTATGTTCTTGAATAAGAGACTCTAAGACTGAGGCTAATTCATAGTCTTTGCTACCCTTATTGAACCAGCCAACAAGAGTAGGGGTAGTTGGTTGTTGTTGCATACATCCAGGTGCAGAGTGTGAGCTGAACTCAAGACTACAAGTTTATTAGATTGGCTTGGAGCAACAGAGAATGTCTTTCTGTAAATGCAAGTGTACTACTGTATCTTTTAAACAGTTGTGGACTTCATAATTAGTTTTTCCCGTAGAAAATTTTTAATAGACACAGTAATAACATTTATTATAGACATGTTTTATATAAAATTCTTGCCAACAGCTTGGCACAGTGTGACAGGGTGATCCCTGTTGGTAAGTGATTTCTCTTGTAAAACATTCAGCAAAGTAATTTTTTTACTGGCTGGAATGTGAAGGGCTGTGAAAGGCCATTTGTATCAGCAGAATTTCTGCTGACTGCAAAGCAGTCATTTCATTCATTTGCTTTATATCTTGTTCCAAATTGCACGTTCAGTACATGGCCACAGAGAGAGCTGTAGCAGTTTCAGGGAGGGAGAGAAATGTCAAAGAGGCACTTCCCATTTTTCTATAACTTCCCAAAGTTGATTTCAAATGGTAGTAGAAACTGCCTCAAACTGTATTCATGACAACGCTTTCCCTCCATGTTCAATTGCAGTATATACACACATACAAACTACATATACATATACATATACATATAGCCAGTGTGTTGTAGTGGTTTGAGCTTGCTAAATGACTGAGAATTGTCTGTGTTGAAATAAGTTGACTGGATATTTTTTTCCAGTGACTCATTATACTGCTGATGTGATTGGATTATGAAGTACCTTATTTTCCTGCGTGTAAGACTACTTTTTAACCTGCAAAATCTGTGGTTAAAGTGGGGGGGTCATCTTATACGCCGGGTATAAGGATAAGGAGGGTAGAGGTGCTAAAACTCTATATTTTGACTGGAAAAATGGGGGGTCGTCTTATACGCCGGGTCGTCTTATACGCCAGAAAATATGGTAAGTATATAGCATGGTGTAGTGGTTTGAGCATTGTACTATGGCTTTGGAGACCAGGGTTCAAATTCCAGCTTGGCCATAGAAACCCCCTGGGTGACCTTGGACAAGTCACACTCTCTCAGCTTCAGAGGACGGCAATGGCAAATCCCCTCTGAAGAAGCTTGTCAAGAAGCCCCCATGGTTTCTTGGGTTCTACTTAGGGTCGCCATAAGTCAGAACTGACTTGAAGGCACACAACAAGAACTCTCTCTCTCTCTCTCTCTCTCTCTCTCTCTCTCTCTCTGTGTTTATACCTCAATTTTTCCCAATGTACATTCTGGAGGATCTGGAAAGTGATAAATCTAGGTAACATGTAACTAAGAACTTTACCATATAAGAAAAGGCAAAACGAGTTAGGAAAGTAGAAATTTTTCAGTGGCATTCCATATGCCCGTGAAGCACTTCCATTCTCTTCCCAAGGGCAGATGGTCATCAAAGCATGCCATTAGCTAAAAGGATTTTTCCTGTTCAGCAAAAGGTGCACTTTGACTACCGTCTCCCCTTGAGAAGAGAATGGCAGTGCTACTACCTCAAGCAGAATGGCATGGAGAAAGCTACTGCTCTCTCAATCAGTTTTGTCTTTCTTTTCATATATGGTAAAGTCCTTGCTGCTGAACATAAAGAAAACAAAAATAATAACCTTGGAAAAACTACATAAATTCAACTGAGACAATGAGGTAATCAAAATAGTTAAAGATTTCCCATATCTTGGATCAAACATTAATCAGAATGGAGACTGCAGTCAAGAAACAAGAAAATGACTGGGAATGGGAAGGGCAGCAATGAAAGAACTAGACAAGATCCTGAAAAGTAAAGATATACAACTGAGCACTAAAGTTAGAATTGCCCAACCCATTGTATTCCCCATCACTATGAACAGATGTGTGATCTGGACAATGAAGAAAGTGGATAAAAAGAAAATCAACTCATTTGAGATGTGGTACCGAAGAAGAGTGCTCTGAATACCGTGGACAGCCAAAAAGACAAAGGGTCCTAGAACAGATCAAGCCTGAACTCTTCCTGGAAGCCAAGTTGATTTGTGTTAGGGGGGAAGCAGACGGAGGCGCTGGAGACGCCGCCGGACGGAGTGCCACCGGAGCGCAGCCTCCGCACTGCTGCGCTCCGGCGGCGTCCCTGGAAGGAGCGCTAAATCAGCGCTCCTTCCACAAAATAGGGAAAGTGCACCCTAAAAGCGTAGGGTGCACTTTCCCTGACTTATCTGCCGCAGCGCGTGCGGTCGCTGCGGCGGGAGGTTGTCCCCGGAGCGCCGGCCGTGCGGAGGGCCGGCGGCTCTGAGGACGACCTCAGGAAGAGGAAGGGGCGCCGCACGTGCGGCTGCCCCTCCTCTTCCTTGCCTCGAAGACGACTCAATTAGTCGTCTGCCGAGGCCCTAAGTCATACTTTGTCCACATGAGGCATGATTCATTAGAAAAGACAATAATGCTAGGAAAGGTAGAAAGCAATAGAAAGAGAGGAAGATCGCATTCCAGATGGGCTTGAAACTAGAAAGTTTACATTTTTTATTGTGTAGCAGCCATCCTTTTGGAGCTGTGAAACTATTTGCTAAACATTTGGTAGGAAGAGACAACTGTAGTCACTCATGCAGAACCTGAAAAATCAGTAGAAATCTTAAAAATGGCAACAGTAAGTACATATGATATTGTCAAGAAAGTGCTTGCATATTTAAGCAGCATACCTTTTCTTGCTTTCAGCCTGGCAAATGCAGCCTGGCAAATACATGCTTTCAGCCTGGCAAATACAAATTACTTCAACATTCCATCTTAAATAATAAATGTTTACTGTTTTTCTGTACTACTAATACAAGGGTTATTTGAGATTTGGCAGATATGTTTAAAAAATTAAGGTGTTAAAATTTCTTCTGTAGAAGTCTATATTATCCTCTTGTTAACCCTACTGGAAAATGTTAAAATAGAGATAATTTATTTTCATGAAGAGGATTATGTGGGAGCATGTGTTTTGACTCTTAGGGGGGTTGCAGACTGCCAGAAATAGTGCAAATTGAGTCCACTTTTAGGGTTAGGGTTAGGGTTAGGGAATCATGGGAACTGTATTTTATTGTGGCACCAGAGCTCTCTGACAGAGAAGGCTCAATGTTTCAGAAAAAACAATTCCCATGATTCCCTAGCACTAACCCTATCCCTTAAAGTGGACTCAATTTGCACTATTTCTGGCAGTCTGCAAACCCCCTTAATATTGAACTAGAATGCATAATTGTTATACTATACTTTTTGAAATATTGTGTTATATATGTACTATAAAATTCATTCTTTGGATGAAGGATTGTACATGTATATGAGCATTAAGATATATAGATGATCTCATGAGAGCTATGGCATAGCAAAAAAAGGATTTACAAAACAAAACAATGGAGTGTAAAATTTTCTAACTGGATTTTAAATGCAGCCCCCTCATGATGCTGCTGGAACATTACTCATAAAGTGTATGCTATGCTCACTAATTTCAGTGTTTCCAGAGGCAGAAGAGTAAATTCTTGTCATGAATCTTTCTGCTTATTAGCAGTAAAATAGCACTGAAATAAAACCATAAAATATTATTGTCACAATATAAACACAACTTTTTATATCATAGAAAGTGTATTTACTTACATTGTATCCATATGAACTACCCAGTGCATGTTTATTGGAAGCAAGTCACACTATATTTAGTGGGACTTATTCTCAGGTAAGTGACTACAAGATTGCAACCCAAGTTGATCTGTTGCATTCACTCTTACTGTGTATTTGGTAAAACCTATGTAGGATCAAGTGAGTCAGTGTGGCGTAGTGATTTGAGTGTTGGCCTTCTAATCTAGAGACCAGGGTTTGATTCCCAGCTTGGCCATGAAACCCATTGAATGATCTTGGATAAGTCACACTCTCAGACTCAGGGGAAGGCAATGGCAAACCTCCTCTGAACAAATGTTACCAAGAAAAACCCATGATAGGTTAACCTTAGGGTCGACACAAGTTGGAAATGACTTGAAGGCACACAACACGCATCTAGAACATGTGACTACAGCTGAGAGCTTGGAAAGTGACATCTTGGATTATACATTCTAGAGCACTATATCCATCAGTGACAATGCTGGTTGAGGGATTCTGGAAGTTGTAGTTCCCAAAAACTACCTCATTTTCTAGTGGACCAGCTTTCATGCAATAATTCTATTTAATGTAAATTAGGCTCAACTTGGATTATAACATAAAAAAATACAAAAATATAACTTTGAAAGTTCAATGATAATGCACAACCATAAAATAGAACTCTAATAACACATTTATAGCAGCCATATCATCTAAACAAGTATTAGATTTTTTTTAAAAAATGCAGTAGTGTTCTTACCAAACCTCTGAAACAAGTTTGGAAACACATATGCACTTGTACTTCCCAATGAGGTATGCCTTCTGCATGTTTAAGGCAATTGACAAAAACATCTTCAGTCCTAATCAGTTCATAATTCCTTTGCAGTGAAACCTTTAAAAATTATATACTGGAATGTCATTGTGCACAGTGTCTCACAATGCTTCCAGATTAACCCTCCCCAAATAATCATTTTTTGGATGAAGGATTGTACATGTATATGAGCATTAAGATATTTATATGATCTCATGAGAGCTATGGCATAGCAAAGAAAGGATTTGCAAAACAAAACAGTGGAGTGTAAGATCTTCTAACTGGATTTTAACTGCAGCCTTTCTTTCCTTCTATGTCTAGTAATGGCATGGTGTGAAAGATTATAGGTACATGTAGCCTCAAGGGATTAACTTTGGTTGCAGTAGAATAATTTCCTAGATCTCTGTAGTATATAGAGACCTCCATAAGACCACTGTAATGTGTTGTATATGGGACCTAGCTTAAAGTTAGCTTAGAAGTAGGGTCACCAGATGAAATAAGAGACAGAGCACCTGTCCCTTTAATGGTTGTGTAGAAGATAGCATTTCAGCAGGTGTGGCTTGTCATGCAAGCCATACCTGTTGAAATTCCATTTTCTACACAATCATTACCGTAATTTAAAAGCCCTATTTGGAAGTATTAGTTCTTTCAAAATACAGTGTCTAGGATGTTCACAGTGCATGGAATATGTCTCATCAGTCCTGATCAATCTACATTGGATAATAAGAATATTTGAATTTAAGTCTATGGTGGATGAGAGGGATGAAACTATCCATCTCTTTTTCTTTTAAATCTCAAATTCTTTCTGTCTTGTTTCTGAATAAATTTATGACTTTATTTAAGTTCTTATAACATTAAAGTTCTCAACCACAAGCACTGGCCAAATTGTATATATACAGCTACT